AACTGTTCAAAAGTTATGGCCAAGGTTAAACTTTTCTGAAAGTAGGTCAAAGGGTCAAAGTTGTTGGTATGCAAAGGAAGATCTTGTCACAAGGATTACGTAATAAAGTATGAAAGCCCTAGCACCAACCATTCAAAAGTTATGGCCAAGTTTTCCAAAAGTAGGTCAAACTCCAAGGTCAAGGTCAAAGGATCAAAATTGTTGGTATCCAAAGGAAGGTCTTGTCACAAGGATTACATATGTATGAAAGCGCTAGCACCAACCGTTCAAAAGTTATGGCCAAGGTTAAAGTTAAGTAAAATTTTGCAAAACTGGGTCAAACTCTGAGGTAAAGATCAAATATGATGATGCACAAAGAAAGGCCTTGTCACAAGGAATACACTTGTGAAATATGAAAGCAATAGCTTCAACCAATCAAAAGTTATGGGCAATGTTAAAGTTTTTGCAGACAAATAGACAGACAGACGGACGGACAGGGTAAAAACTATATACCCCAGAATCTTCAATATTGGGGCATAAAAATACAGGGAAAAAAATTATTCTCCATAACAGCAAGGCTATGTTGGTCATAATATTGAAGCATCCCCAATTGTTTTGTGGGTTCGAGACCCTGATATATAGAGGGTAGGCCACAAGATAGAGTCAATTTTTCATGGAAATAAATTGGGGGAAACTTAAAGGGGGTATCTAGGAATCTCCTTGTCTGTCTAGTTGTCTGTCATCTGTGCAATCATGTTTGGGCTGTAACTTTGTAAAGGAGAATAACTGGAAGCTCATGATTGGTACAAAGATTGTTGTCATGACCTTGATCCAAAGTCATTCCGGCAAGTTCAAGGTCAATGTTAGAAAAAGTATAAAAGTTTTGTCTGATCTACAACTTCTTTATGGAGAAACATTGGAAGTGAATATATCAAACAAAGATTGTTTTTAATTATGACCTGAAGGTGTGTCATGATCTTAACTAAGGTCATTTGATCAAGTTGAAGGTCATATATAGAAAACTTTTTAATTCCTGTCCTACCCGTATCTTGTACATTGTAATGGAGAATAGTAGAGGCTCATACTTATCACAACCATTGCATATGACCTGAGTGTATGTGCTGATCATGACCCAAGGTTATTCCAGCAAGTTCAAGGTCACCAGCAAAAAAGTGTTTGATCCGTGTCCTGTCTGTAACTCTCAAATGGAGGCTAATTGGAAGTTGATACTTGATACAAAGATTGCTTATGACTTGAAGGTGTATCAGGATTTAACCCAAGATCATTTTTAAGGTCATTGGTAGAAAAAATTGTTAAATTCCTGTCTGGTTTATAACTTTCTAATGGATAAAAATTGGAAGTTCATACTTCATAAAAATATTACCTTTGTTTTGAAGGTGTCTTACCTTGACCCAAGCTCATTCTGGTAAGTTCAAGGTCACTGACAGAAAAGTTTTTAAAAAAAAAAAAATTTTGGATGATGAAACTTCAAGTAAAAAATATTTGTGAACTAAAAGTATATCATAACCTTGACCCATGGTCATTGTGGCAAGTTCACAATCACTGGCAGAACAGGTGTAAATTCATTCAGGTCCATAATTTTCTAAGTGAAAAAAATGGTAGTTCATATTTTACACAAATATTACCTATGTCTTGAAGGTGTGACATGATCTTGACATTCTGGCAAGATCAAGGTCACTGGCATAAAAAGTTTAAAAGTTTTTTTGCCAAGTTGAAACTTCAAGCAAAAATTAATTGTGAGCTGAAAGTATGTCATAACCTTGACACAGGGTCATTTTGGCAAGTTCAAGGTTATATTTACAAAATTGCTAATGAGCAATTGAACAAATTTGCAAGTTGGGTTATTATCTTGTGAGCTCACTCACAATCCTCTAGTTGGATATGAAACTTGTAACACTCATGAGACAGGATTTTTTTTTTTTTTTTTACAATTTCACTTATATTTTGCACTCATGAATAGTCCCATTCTCAAAATAAATTCCACCTTTCACGGTAGCTCAGTCGGTAGAGTGCTCGCTCCATGATCGGGAGGTCGTGAGTTCGAATCTTGGCCGTGACAGACCTAAGTCGATAAAAAATGGGTAGCAACTGTTCCTTTGCCATGCACTCGGCACTTTGAAGTGAAAGTTGCGGGTCTTTCGGATGAGACCTTAAAAACCGAGGCCCCGTGTCACGGCAGGCGTTGGCACGATAAAGATCCCTCACTGCTCAATGGCCCTGAGTGCCGAGTAAAGGTCAAAATTTGAAGCCCTTCACCGGTATATGGTGACATCTCTATATGAGTGAAAAATTCTCGAATGGGATGTAAAACAACATACAATCAATCAATCAAAGTAAATTCCATACTTAACTACAAAACATTGAATATCCTCTGTTTTTGCACACTTGCAGATCAGACTAATTTTTAATATTGTTCATAACATTTTTCATGGCAGATTTAGATGGAGGAAACCTAAGTACCACCAACCAACCTTGCTCCATCACTGATGGATTGTGTAGATATTTCAGAGAAGGGATTGGTAAATCAGTGAGGGGGTATCCTCCTCTTCCTAATTCTAATATCCCCTGCAAATGAAGTTTGAGGTGTGTTATAGGAATCATTTTGTCTGTCTGTCTATACATAACTTTGTAATGGAGAAACATGGGAAGCTCACAGTTCACACAAAGGTTGCTTACGACCTGTGTTGTAACCTTGACCAAAGGTCATTCTGGCAAGTCAAGGTCTGGCAGAAAAAGTGTAAACATTGTGCCGGGTCCATAACTTTCTAGAGGAACATTAAAAGTTCATACTCATACAAAAATTGCTTAAGAATTAAGGGTGTTTCTTGAACTTGACTGACCCAAGGACTCTTCGTCAAGTTTAAGATCACTTTGAGAAAACTGCAGAATTCCTGTTTTGACCATATCTTATAATAAAGAAACACTTGAGACAAAGATTGCTTTAACCTGAGAATGTGTAATGACCTTGACCTTAAGTTATTTGGACAAGTTCAAGGTCATTGACATAAAAAGTGTCCCTTTTGTGTGGTCCATAATTCCTTCATAGAGAAACATTGGTAGCTCATACTTGATTAAAAAAATCCTTACATTTCTTGCATTTCATCAAGTTCAAGGTCACTTGTAGAATAAAGTACTTGCAAACTCAAGCAAGGGGTAAAATTTTGTGAGCTCTACATTACCTCTAGTTTACAATTAATAAATGTTTTAGTCCCCCCCCCCCCCTCCCCACTTCCAAGAATTATTTCCTTTTTCAATTTGGCTACTTAAAATAATGCCATATTCATATTCACCAAATCAGACATTTTATGTTCGTAGCTGTACAAAGTGATGCATGCATAACAGTACATGTATTGTAAATTACTCCAAATTGTGATCATCACTTTCCCCACTGTATATGGTTCAGTTTCACAACAGTAAGTAGATCTATAAATAATTAATATATTTAAATTTTTATTGCACAGAAATAATTCAGGAATGTCAACACACAAAAGAATAATTTTCTCACAAACTTAAAAATCTCCTCATACCCAAAGTCTTTATAAAAACTGCTAAATAGAAAAAAAAACTGTACTAGAATTTAGTCATTAGAAATACCAATTAAGTTTAGCACATAACATTTTTTTTTATTAGAAAAAATCATAAATAAACATCTTAGCATAACTATTATATTGTACATAAACCATGAAAAGATATCAGTATATTTAAACATAACATAATGTTGTCCCAGGTTCTAAGTAAACTAGTTGGAAAGAGTAATAGGAATTCATAATAATTCACCTGGGCATCTCTAACTACTCAAGGTTAAGAACAGTTTAAATGGGGGGGGGGGGGGGGGAATTATGGAACAAGGAAGTTATGTTTTCGGTAAATTTAGGATAGCATTGAAAAATACAATTATTTAATTCATATGCTGCTCAAAAATATTTGAGGTTTAATGCCATTAGCAGGACAGATATGAAGATAATTTTTAAACGACTTTTGTTGAAAAAGATTTGTATAGTGCTGGATTGTTTCAAGCGTATGATCTTCAACACTTGTTACCTTCCAATGCTGTGCTAGAGACAACATTTTGAACATGACATTTATTAGCAGAAGCATGTTTGATATTTTATCCTAAAGTTTTGAGATTATTGAAAAGACATACAGGAATTACATTAATGGAATTTTTTCAAGGAAGGAAATGGTCATGGGTCATGGAAAAACAGAATATGTAATTTGAAAATACTTTGTCAATGTTTGTAAAAGTGAACTACTAGAAAGCTCCTGTTTGAAAACATTTATAAAGCATTTACAGCTGTATCTTAATTAACTAAATGATTATGTTTACATGTAAAATGTGTGTTGTTTAAGAATATTCATAATTACAGGGTATTACAAATTGGATTTTTTAGAGAGATGGGATATAAATAATAAACACTAATTTTGCATTAAAAATACATAAACAATTCCCTGTGAAAAACAATTGGATGCCTATTGCTAGACCATTTTAAAAAAAGTTTAAAAAGTACTGGTAATATTTAAATCAGTCTCTGTGGTTTATCTTCCTTAGCTTAATTGTAATAATCTGCAAACCACAAGAATAGTTACCCAAAAGGAAGGATAGCTCCACCCAATTACTGGTCAGTGAAGCCACTGACCAATAGACATACATATATCATTTTAGTTTCAGTCTAGAACTTTACCATATCAACTCTCTCAAAGCACTGAAAAAATCCCTACAGATATTTAAGCTCAACTAAGAAGGGACTCTGTCCAGACAATACTTCGTTTTACTTTTGTGTCACATCCAAGCTTTTCATATCTTTCTGTTACAAACATAGATATAAACCAGATGTGCTTGATAAATATTTCTTTAATGTGTTTTTATATTCCTACACATAATATCTGACATCTCTTGAGACCCAATCCTCATCCCACCAGACTAAACGATGATTTGAGGGAACTTTATCTACATTATATGAGGATGTTTGACCCACTAATTAAATGATTCAAAACCCCACTATATTTAAAATAATTTTATTTGCATTACATGCTTGTGAAAGAAGATTAACCCCCAGCTGTGGATCAAAAAAAAAAAAAAAAAAATTCCAGGTTATTTGAAAAAGTCTGATTGTACACTAAATGAGGTGATTATTTCCACTTCACCATTCCTAAACCCTGGTGTCTCTCTGTCTGATACATATGATTTTAAAAAATGTTTTTGCTATATCAAGCATAAAATACGGAACCCTACCAAGTGCCTGCCTTGGCTTGGGGACCAAGATCTGAACAGAACTGAGTCTTCACATGAAGGAAGCTGTCAGGTAAGTTTGGCATTGGTTCTAGAGTAGATAACATGTTATATATGACATAATCTTCCCAATTCTTGATTTTTTCCCTTTGCACTGGAGCATGATCCTAATTCTAAACAAACTAGCAACATTCTCCTTATGCCCTATGCATTGCAGATTGGTCAATCTCACCCAAGTTGTTCAGATGAAGAAATTAAGAAATTTTCACAATTAGGTAATGCATGATGAGCATGAGAGACACAGCAAGGAATGGACACAGAGTGATCTAATTGACCCTAAATTACCTTGTACATCCTGTATATTGGGGGAAAAAATTATAAGAATATTAAGTTAATGAAAAGTCCTGTTGTTTCACTGCCTGGAACATCAGTTGGTCATCATAAATCACTTCACTGTATCCTTTGTCTAATATTGTACAATACTTCAGGATTTTACAGCTGCCACAATTATTATTGTCACAACCGCTGCTATAATCACCAAGATCACAAGTAAAATACACATCTTCTTCCGAGACTTCCTCTGAAAAACACAATAAAAAAAACCCATTCACATTATACACAGAAAGTCAGAAAACTAAAAGTAGGTCATGATGTTCATCTGATTAGGTACAAGACGAAGCATAGCTCTGGGCTGCTTAATATAACCATGCATACATTTTGGCTGCTATATGTCAGAGGTGAAAATGAAACTTAAAAAAAAAAAAATTGCTGGATTTTTAGCTGCAAAGTCAAATTTGCCTTCAATACGCTGGCCAATTCTTGAGTAGGGCTAGAAATATTTTTTTTTTACTGGTCACTAGGGCTACAACCTTAAATTTTTACTGGTTAACTCAGTACTTTCACTGTCCCATTGGTTAAAGTATGATTAATAAATGTAGCATTATGAACGTATACACTCTTACTTCATGGAATGAAATGACTGTCTATCACTGATTTTACAGACTTCCTTCAAAATATTGTAAAGACCGTATCTTTCATATCTCTGAAGCCCCAGTTTGAAATGGCTTGCCTGCAAACCACATGCTGCTAAAGTAGAACTTTGCCCCTATGTCAGAACATTTGAAGTTACCAGATCATGAAAACTTCCTAGTAATATGATTTTTTGTTCTTATTTGATAGTTTTTCGTTGTTCATGATGACATAATAAATAGAGAAGACTGACTCGCTGAGTGATTATTGATCCATCCTTTATTTTTAATTAAAATATAAATACAGAAATACAGACCACACAAGCTTTAATGTACATTTCAGTTTATACTACTGAAGATATTTTTTGCTTGTTTTGTAGTTAATGATACTGTTAATGCGATAAGCTTTCCATGTTGAATCCTATTGTGATGGCAGCAAACCCGGGATCTACCTTAAATTGTTCAGACAGTTATTCTATACTTAATGAATCATTCCAGTATTTCTATTTAAAACTTCTATCAATATGATTTTAACAAAGTAATGTACATGTATTATATAAACAAAATTTTGAAAAATGCAAGACAAGTCATAGTACATGTACCCAAGGCGGATCCAGGGCCAGCCTGCTGGGTGCCCCCCCCCCCCCCCACTTAAAACCCACTTAAAAATACCGGGTACTGTTCAAAGAAAAATCATTGATGTAGGAGTAAAGTACCATTGATATATGCAATCAAATTTCATTCACTGACAACTGGAAGGTGTTCTGAAAAAAGTGTGCAGTTCTTTTTGGGAATAATTTCTTCCACTCTTTAATAGGACATCTCCTCACTTATGGATCATTTCTCTGTTTGTCGATCAAAATGGCTGGAATACATGTATATGGAGATGACTTACTTGGTATTCAGCTGCTTTGGAAAGTTGTGAGGTTCCTGACTCAACATTTGTATAGGCTTTGTCTACATTAGCTTCTATGGAATCTGTAAGGAAGGTTTATTTAAAAAGAACCAGTTTAAGAATTTTAAATTTTGAATTAGATACATCTCTTGAGTTTAGAGCATGCTGCTTGACATGTAAAATGGGCATCATTTCTACATGTGGAGCATTGTTTCAAAGCGAAATGAAATTTTCTCAAACACATGCACAAAATTGTTCCTGCTCACATCTTATTAACTCCTAAGCATAACTTTTCCATCTTTATATGCATTAGTAATGAATGCTTTACCTATGGTTTCTCCTTGTTCATTAACCAGTGTGGCTAAATCCTTAAATATCTCATTTACATCCAGGATGTCTGACTAAAAAAAGAAAAAAAAAACAACTTTCAAAATTCAATTGCTATTACAAACAATTACAATGATGCACATTGAAGTGGTAAAATTCTCTCAACTAGCAACGTGAGTTTTGCTGAAATGGGAATTTTATGAAGCTAGGAGAAAGAGTGAGACTCCCCAGTTCTGTAAAACTCATGTTTTGCAATGAATATGTATATAATTATGTATTTATCATGATAATTGAAGTTATCACAACAGATGTATCAATTGAACAAGTGTTCACCTGGTGTTCATGGAGACTGCCAATCTGATTGGCTATTGTATTTAAAACTATTTATAAAATAAATGTATGTCCTAAAGGTATTCGAACGAAGCACGTGAAAAATAAGGTAGCGACAGCCATTCAATTTTTAGGAATTTAAGTATTAAACATTCAAATCTCTATACCACAGTCATGTCACATACTGACATCACTCATATTTTGGCATCAGCTATGGATAGACTCAGCTTCTCATAAAGCTGATGAAAACCCACATCTTTAAAAAGAGCAGCAACAGTTTCAGGAGCAGTAAGTATGGTACATGTAATTCAAGGCATAACAATATGTCTCCCTTCAGTGAAGGTGGTCACATGATTACAGAAAAAGCAAATATTACCTCTAATTGTCGGATCCTCTCCTCACGATCTCTGATCAGAGCCAGATCATCTTCAATGATCTGGTCTTGTATTTGCTGTTCTTCTCTTTTCCTCTCTTGCTCCAGGAATTTAACTTCATCATCCTCATCCTAACAGAGAGAAAAATTTTAATACTTTATAACAATAAAGAGCTACAGTTTACTATGTTCCAATATCTTTCAGATATCCATGTAAATACTTTCTGCTGAATGCAAATTTTATATACATGTACTTCTCTGAAGAACAAAACCTTTGAAAACTAATGCTCTGAGTATGAACAGCATTACTGAAGGTTCACAACAACATTTCTGGAAGCTGAACCACAAGTCTCTGATGAGACTGTAGCTCTACTGGTTTGTACTTATAACAAAGGAAAAGAAAAGTAGCACTTGGACTTGAAAATAGCATTTTGAAAAATTGTTACAGATGGACAGATATACGGCTGCCTTACTATCGCATAAGCTCTTCTGGTCTCTGGCCAGTAGAGCTAAAATACTATGCAACATATAGACTGGTGTGCCATAAAATTTTACTCACATCCATCCATCCTCCACTAGACTTTGGCTTGGGTTTCTGACTGGATAATTTGACTGTTTTCTTTACTTGTTCTGCAGCTCTCTAAAAGGCCAAGTCAAAATGAAATCACATCTCTATGAAATGAAATCAGCTTTTCTACTTCATTCTTCTGTTGTTAGTTCAGATATATGTATTTAATTCTATTCATCATACATCCAATTCGAACTTAATACTAAATAGAAAGCCAAAAAAGTACCTTTTGTAAAGAAGTGAATCTTTGGACGGAGTCTTGGAAATCATTCTTTAATCGATCAACTTGAAACTTTTGTTGCTGAAAGAAATTTTAAATTGCATCTAAAATATCATTATTAGTAAGATTATCATTCATTTGATAAAGTTTCGAACTAAAAAATTCATTGTATTTGTGAGTTAGACTCTTTTGAAAGAAAGAAAAAACAATGAGAAACCAATAAGCCACAAAGTTTATCTAATTCACATTCTCTCCTTCTCTAACAGATGGAAATGGTATGAAGCTCCTGGCTGTGGCCCTAAACTCTAGGTAGTGATATAAACAAGAGGCCCATGAGCCACAATGTTTACCTGAGTCACTATGGCCCCTGTTCTTCAGCAGACTTTGTTCCCTTTATATTCCTACACTGTATGTAAAACTTATTCCACAGAGGTCATGATTTGAACAAACAGTTAACTTGAATCTACACTACCCGAGAATGCTTCCATATCTTTGTGACATGGCCTATATGCCTTTGCTGTTCTTGAGAAAAAGATTTTTATATTTTTTTCCCCTATATAAACCTATTTTGATCCCACCCTACCCCCAGGGGTCATGAACAAACTTGAAACTTGAATCTACACTACATGAGGATGCTTCCATATTAAATATGACTAAAATATGCATGTGCTGTAATTGAGAAGAGGGTCTTTAAAGGTTTTACCTGTATATTCCTATATAAAACTTAAATCGCCTATTGTGGTCCCACCCTACCCATTGGGGTCATGATTTGAACAAACTTGAATCTACACTATATAATGAAACTTTCATTTCAGTGGAAACTTTTCTGGACCAGTTGAGAAGATTTTTTGAAAGATAAATTTTTACAATATTTATTTACCCTTGAAAAAGAGTGTGGCCAATCATTTGAACAAACCTGAATCCCCTTCACAAAAGGATGCTTTATATTGTGGCAAGTTTGGTCGAAATTGACGTAGTGGTTCTTGAGAAGAAGATGAAAATGTGACAAGTTAACAGACAGGCAGACGGAAAAACTTAGATTGGAAAAGCTCACTTGAGCCTTTGGCTCAGGTAAGCTAATAAAGTTGAGGTCACATACATGTATGTATACATGCAGACATACATGAATAAATACGCATATGTACAAGTTAAGGACAAAATTTGAAAGTGAATTGTCTCAATTCTCTGTCAAACATGTCATACCCTTTCTAGTCCAGTCATTGCAGCAATGGTTCTCATTTGCCTTGTTGTTTCTTGAACTATCTTGTTTGTCTTTGTTGAAACTTCATGACTGCAAAATAAAGGATATCAATGTATTGCTGCTTCCTAATGTCAGTCACAAAAGCTGATAATATGGATAATTAAGTTGTATCATTCTATCTACTGTAAAAGTGGTTATTTACACTGGTTGTTAAGTACGCGTTTGTGACCATCAAACATTACGCGTGGGTGTAATATACGCGGTCGCACGAGTTACTGAGAAAAATTTACGCGGCCATCGTTTACTAACATCGAGTTGTTCCCCTTTGAAAAGGTCAAGTAGTTAACACGCATGAATTAGAAAAAAAAATAATTAGAAATAATTACAAACAAACTAAACAAAAAGAATTTATACTGTTGGATTACTAAATATAACGGCGATCTGCACAGTCAAAAGCGGTGAAGTGTGAACAACTGGTGTACGCTTTATTGTAATTATTTACGCAAGCTCAAACTTCAAAGTGGGATTTACTTACCTGTATCTGCGCGGCGAGTGTTGGCAATTAATTCAATAGGTATGTTTTTAGTGACTGTGAGTTTGTGTAACATTTTGGACTAATTATTTGAAATTAAGAGGGACATACAAGTACATACAAAGGAAATGAAAATGAGTATCGATGTTTTTAAGCTTTAATTGCGTGACGTTGCTTTAAAATATTTAATATGAAGATGCATTTTTCATTGCACAATTGAAAAAAAAAGAAGAACAGTTACGTTTTCATCACTGTGATGTATTTATCTACTCACGTGCGTTCAATACCACGATTAATACATGACTGGTTCGACCGGTCTAACAGTATAAGTCGTGGTCTAGAATGATTCTAGAAGTTTGAAATTTTGTGACCATACGCGCGGGGGTATTTTACGCGGTTCTAAGCTTACCGCGTAAGTAGTGTAAATTTCCCCCACGCGTAAATAACCACTTTTACAGTATCTGTTCATTCCTCGTCACCCTGTCCTCCTTCTTTCTTTCCTAAACAATGTCTCTTTAAATATTACTTATAGAAATTTTAGTAGAAAGAACAAGCAACAACATTTTCAAAGGTTGTCTGGCTATTGCTTTCTATTCATTAAAGTAAATTATTGGGAGAAGTCTTATTCAAGCCCCCATAAACTTTTCAAAAATGTAAGACATCCTTAAATAAATGTTCTTTGGTTCTTACATTCTGTCTCTCGTTTCCAGACTGTCTCTGTCTGTTCCAATGGCTCTCATTAATTTCTCCACAGAATTTGCTGAAAAAAGTAAGTACATTTATAACAATCCCTTGTAGTCAGCCAAAATGTTTACTAGCAATTACAAATGTTATTTTGCAAGTTAAAAATACTGCAGAATACAAATAAATCCATTTTCTAATGGGAATGTTGTTAAATAAATTCCTAGCTTGGTCATGGTACATTTTGAAAATAAGCCTAGGAGTTCAAGAGTTTAAACACTTTCCACTGTCACATTGCCATAACCCATGACTGCTATCCTATCTATGCTATCTGCAATAATATAGTCCTCTCTGATTTTTTTTCTGAGGGCTTTATAAATGCAGCTATATCTATGCCAAAACTACAAGTATAATGTCAACATTACTGATATATAATCTTAATAAATCTTTTTTTACATACAAAACAAATTTAAGCCTTGTTTTTCTTGAGGAATTCTTCTGAATTCTGGAAGTCCTCTTTATGAAAGAGTGTGGTCCTTGATTCTCTAATCAAGGATAATTTCTACATTGAAAATGGTTAACTTCCTCTGGAGAAGTTGAAAATTTACACCAGATAAAATTCAATTACAAATGCTATCAGTTCAAGCTTGTTAAAACTCAACCTAAAGCATCATTTTTTTCCCCCAATTAAATATCTCTGAGTCAGCAACATTGGTTCATTAAGGAACAAACCCAAATATATAGGTTCATTTCTTAAATAACTTACCACCAACATTTATGTTGGAGATATTAGCCTTGATCTCATTGCATATCTTGGAGAATTTCATATTAGCTGATCCTGAAACCAAAGAATGATTTTGTACTTTAATGTCCAATATATCATCAAAGGGTATACAATATCTTATTATTAACTATCTTTATTAAGTTTAATTAATTTTATATAAAATTGCAAATTTAGCTTCTTTTTTCCCTATAGTTCACTATTTTATACATATTTACTTTACTTCATTTTCACATTACATAAAGCATCATGAATTCATAGTCACCATGATATGGATCATCATGGTACTCTCGTACTGCTCCATACTCAGGAAATTCTGATCGTCTTGCCATTCTTCTTTCTTAATGCCAGAGCTATAAAATAGAAATGATAACTTAATTGATGTATCCATAGGAAATACATTTACATACAACTACCATTTTCAATTTCTATCCCTTGTCAGAACTCATCTTTAGCAGAAAATACTACATTGGGACAATTAAGGCAAATAACAATTGGCAAATTCATGTGAAAATGCAAGCAATTATACTTGAGATTAAGAGACAGATTAAATTCAATATTTTGAATATATATTTTTGTTTGAATGTGTAGGTGTCAATATTACTGCATGATAAATCTTTTCTATTAATCTTCTATGATAGGATTGATCAATACTGGTAAATCAACTGAACTGACATTGCATTGACATATAATTTTTCTACAAATTACATGTAATTTGTTTCTTTCATTTCTTTCATAATAATTAAAAATGCATGATTTTGAATTCCATATTTCAGCAGGTAAAGATATTTGAGAGAGAGAAATAGAAAGAGAAAGAGAGAATATGAATGATTACTTTCAAGTTTATCCTTCTTTTTTTCCTTCTCATATACATGTACATACACAGCTATATGTTTTAAAGAAACATATTTCACCTCGTTGAGTTTTTATTCATGTGGATTTATAATTATGTTTACATGTATAACCAAAATAATTTTTTTTTCATTTTTTGGACTGTAAATTTATATCCCATTTTGGTTATTATATCCCAAACAGGCTATATCCCATTTGGGCAATTGGTTCCAACCTGTTATATATGTGAGATAAAAATGATGCCATACTTGCCAACCTCCAACATGTAAAAATCTGGTCATGACCAGATTTGGAAAGTAAAAAAATCTGGTCATAACGCGTAATGACATTCATGTTATATTTACCATGATTAAATTACCGGTATATATATTTATATAAGCATTTGGTTATTGAAAATTCCTTTATTAAAGAAAGGCTTTAACTTAAAATGACAAAAATTTAATATATATTGATTAAATTTACCTGTTAAAAAAGAGCATTGAAGGTTTCATTATTCAGTATTGACCTGAATTAAGTGTGCATTTTTTTTTTAAAGAGAGCCTTTTCAGAATCTGCATTGCTGATCTGAAGCACATGTTTGTGCTAATTTTGAAAGTATTCCAATTTTGGTTTTGAAGTAATTTTTCCTCTCCCGAATTAATTAACAAGTGCAATATTTTTAAAACTTTTTTTAAATGTACAGTTAGGCCTACACTATCTTCTATCACTTTATTTTATCTAATGAAAGTTGTTTTCCAAGATTCCTTGAAGATATGTACATAAATATCGTTTCTCTTTTTCTTGATTCAATGTTGTTCCTGCTGGCCCTGATAACGATCTAGTTCTATCGGGAACCATTTTAAATTGACTTCTAACTTTGATTTGTCAAAACAACTCCCAGGTAATTGTTTACACCTGCACTGATAATTAACTGGTACACAGCCTACTGAACATAGCCATTGGCATTGTTTACGTAGATCCAAGCTTGGGTTGTAACTAGATGTTAAAAGTGCAACCTATTTTATGAACCAAATATGGAAATCGGGAGATTTTCGGGTTGTTCGGCAAAAATCGGGTGAAAAGCATGACCCGCCGTGTCATAAAAAATAATCGGGTTAAGGGTCAAAAAATCGGGTGTAACCCGACGAAATCGGGTGAGTTGGCAACTATGAATGATGCCCAATATTTTAGCTGGAATTTTTTGAACTATATTAATATATTATACACCTTTTTACTGGCTGTGAGGACAATAGCAAGTTTATTGTCCCCCAAGACAGCAACTATTTCCCAAGGTGCAGCCGAGGGAAATAGTTGTTGTTGAGGAGAACGATAAACTTGCTATTGCCCGAATAGTCAGTAAGTAGGGGTTTTATTATACCAAAGCAAACTTTATTTGTGTCACATCACAATCTGGATAAAACCGATAGCATTCCAAGATGAAATGCATGGGAAATGGAATGCTGCCAGGAAATAGTTTGATGACTATTTCACCATGGGCAAATAGCTCAAAAACTAATCCACGGTAGGGGCTGTTTAGAAAAAAGAGCAGGTTTATTCGTCATATCTTTATAAAACTCACAGAAATATAATAAATATATGCATATCCAAGGGAAAATATACATCTGAATCACTCTGTCGGCGAAATAGTACAAAATGATAAAATTAATGTAAAATTACAACAAGATCAGTGCAGTCATTCAACATAATTGTATAAAATGTCGTCTATAAAATACCCCAGTAAAGTCATTATGTTTCATTCTTTATGTCTTATAGCAAATTTTATTCTACACATATATTACCGTGAAAAGGACTGTTTAGTAAGACACCATCGGAATGGATCATGTGTTGTTGATGTTTTTTTTTCCTCCAGTCATATGACTGCTATAGAGTTATCCTCCCTGAAAACGCGGAATAATTTGGATTTGTAATTTTTATCAACAATCCTTTTGAAAAAAAAATAATTTATATATTTGGAAACATATCTTTATGAATATTATAAAGATATTAAGCTTTAAGCTTCAGATTACAATAAAAACTTCTAAGAGCAATTTTCCTTTGGATTATATTTTGGTAGTCTTTGCCGGATGTAAACTTGTCAAATCGAAAGTTGACGTCAGAGTCGTGTGACATTCAGTATAGTGATTGTGTTCTAACTTACAGGTATTGAAATATTGAGAAACTCCTATAGAAAAAACGCAGTAATTTGTGTCATTTAGCTTTTTAGTAAAGAATTGCATTTCGTTTTTGCCGTAAAAGTAAGTAGTTTGTAATCAAGTCAAGTGATGCATACCTTTTTATCCTCAATTCTCATTATATCGCGGGTTCCATTGTATCGCGGTATTTTCCAAAAATTAGGATACATAGCTCATATCCTTTTTGTTGATGGACTATCTGTCTGTCGTCTGAATGTTGACTTTTGTGATGGTTAAAAAGTATGGAACACCCCTTGGAAAAATATTTATTCAAATAAAACGAAATTTTACAGATTTCCATTCCCGTTTTTACTTTATTTTGACCATTGAATATATATCCAAGTAAAATCCATAATAATGTTCATATTTTGAAAGCCTTAAGTTTGTATTTTTGTTAAGTTTTTATGTAGATTTACATCATAAATTAAAAAATAAAAATTGTACTTTGTGACAGTGCCAAGCCTCCGTGTTTTTCAATACGCGATACAATGAGACTCTCCATTTTAGGAGGTAAATAAGACTTTCTGTTTTAAAAATAGATTACAAAGTAAACGAGGAAAGTTTAGAAAATAATTAGCCTCTAAAAAGTTAGGCCATTGATAGGTTTATGAATAGTATTTGGTGAAAAGTTAATGTAAGAATTTGGAATAACTTTTTTACGCAAAAGAAATAAGTACCGCGATATTATGAGACACCAGTATACAACTATTTGCAATGATGCGCATTAAAAAGTAAAATTTTCCGTTTGAATGGAACGTTTTGAGTTTATATAATGCTACACTCAGTTTTTCAGAAGGGAAAAAAGCCGTCACATGCTTCAATTGAATTCCAGTGGAACAGGTACAATAGGCAATCAGATTAGTAGTTTACATAAACACCGTGTAAACACGCGTTCGATCGATATACGTGCTTTTTTAAGTACATGTACAGTATTTAACACAATGTGTTAAATACTGTATGTGTACTTAAAGAAGCGGGCTTCATATTTTAGTGGCTTTGGCGAGGACAATAATGTGCTAATTCATGAAAACTGTAAATAAATCACTAAATAAATACAGCATACGGCACGGACGTGTGTAGCGCTAATTCATGATTATGCCAATCACTCAATACCATGTGTTTGTGCTAAATTTTGAGAACATCAATTTATGTACACATACAGTAACCACAATAAATTCTTTAAAATGTACATATTTGTTGCAATATACAGAATAGGGGAGTCTCTCACTCTCTCCTAACTTCATAAAATCCTCATTTTAGCAAAACTTGTGCTGCTAGTTGCAAATAGTGGGGTGTCTTAAAACATTACGACGAATATTGCCTTCTTGTTTCTAAAGAAATGGGCATGTCATTATGTAACAATTGATGTTTGATAAAAAAAGACCCAAATGTTCCATTCAAATAAAAAATTTTAACTTAAATGCACATCATTGTGGAATAATCTGTGACTCAGGATAGGCCCTCACCACAGTTACGAGGGGCATTTCAAAAGTTCTGGCAACTGGTGTGCGGTAAATTAATGAGCGTCATTATCATAAATTAAATTATATCAATCCCTCAAAATAGTCTCTGTTGACCTGGACACACTTTTTCAGTCTTGAAATCCACATGGAAAATGCTGCCCTATAGTCCTCCTTCGGTATACGCTTCATACACTGGAATGGGGCACTTCCGACTGCATGACGACTTTCAAATCGCCGTCCTCGGAAGGCTTCTTTGATAACGGCATTCAACCAAAAATCGCATGGAGCTAGGTCAGGACTGTAGGGTGGATGTGGTAAAACGGCAATACCATTTTCCTTTAAATATTTGGTTACTACCTCTGATCTATGGGCAGGTGTGTTGTCGTGGAGGAGCTTTATTCCTCTAGTACTGGTTGTTGGTCAGGTCGTTTTATAGTGCTCTACAACCTGAGACAAGACATTCTCTGCATAAAATTGACCAGTAACACGGCTGTGTTCTGGAACCGGAACTTGAGTAACAGGGCCTTTAGAATCAAAAAATAAGGCATACATTACTCTCCGGACAGATTGGTTTCTGTGTGCAATTTGAGACCTTGTATCATTTTCACTGATCCAAACTTTATTATTGAGCTTAGTTTCCGGTTCAAAAAAATATATCCATGTTTCATCACCAGTTACAATCTCATTTATTTGCCTTTGTTCACAATCTTCATAAATTGTTAGTAACTGTGAAGCCATTTCTACCCGGATGCGCTTTTGCTCTTCCAAGAGAAGATGCGGCACCCATCTAGCACAGACTTTCCTAAGCTTTAAGTTTTCCTTTAAAATACGAAAAACTGCTGACGAAGTAATGTTAGTTAAGTCTGCTATTTCCTCAACTGTATATCTAGCATCATCAGCTATCGTATTTTGAACAGCGACAATTTCTTTTTCGCCATATGCACAAACTGGATGCCCCGAACGGGGGTCATCTTCAATTGATTTTCTACCCTCTTTAAATTGAACTACCCATCTTGCTATTGCTTGATATGAAAGAGCATGCTCTCTATATACTACATCTAAATCGGCTTTTATTTCTGTTGCCGTAAAGCCAAGCAATGAGCGAATTTTCAATACGCTCTTTGCTCAACAAAAAAATTGTTCTCCTTAATATCAGTCATTTTTACACCCAGTATACAGAGTATACCTAATTATGACGTCATTTTAGCAGACCTATACGTCATTTTGAATGTAAAATGACGTCACTACTAATGCATATTTGCCTAAGCTTTACAGTGGTATCAGAGTCATTTTAATCCGTAACGTAGTTAAAATTTTATATACCAGTTGCCAGAACTTTTGAAATGCCCCTCGTAGAATGCCTACCATACTTGCAATGTAGCAGAAAATTGCAGAATGGCTCCAAAACGATTTTGGAAAAAGTAAATGAAGTTGCATAAAAAATAAATGATAAATTAATCATAACAAACTCTTCTGCCTTTCACCCAAAAAAATTAATCCATATAATGAAAGGATTCAACACTTTTTTCCCAACATTTTTTTACTTGTTTCAAACTTACCGTACACGTTGACATTCTGAACTTTGGATATAAAATATTGTTTATACTGGTATATGCACTGATATATATAATATTGTTTATTTAAGGAATAACTGTCTAATTTTTTGGATTCATGATGTGATCAATCGAGTGGCTTGCGTGATAATTTGCATAAACGCCGAAGGCGTTTATGCATAAAATTATCACGCAAGCCAATCGATTGATCATCGTCATGAATCCAAAAAATCTGACAGTTATTCCTTATATTTACATGTTCCTGATTCTGCGAATTCCCGTGCTAATAACCCCGCTTCTGTCTTTATTTGTCCCGCCCCGCACGTGAATTTTTTTAACCGCGCCTATCAATGAAGCAGTAGATTTATGTAGAAATAAAGTATTTTTACAATTTGTAATTTTATCTCGGACAAAGACATTGGAAATGTAAATATACTGGTATATGCACTGAGTTAGAGTTATTGCCCATATTTGTTTTGCTACATTGCCAATACATGGAATGCATTCTATTGCAATATTAATTAATGAAATTAAAGTAGATAAATAGTCGTTGAACAATTAACCCATGTTAACAATGGTAATATTAGACTTTAAATTTCAATAGACTTTTATGTTTGAGACTTGAAAATAATTGTTGATTAATCTTTTATAGGAAGATTTTATATAGTACCTATGTATGGTCAGATTTTTAGATCAACTGGTCAGAGACAAGAAGAGTTTATGTGATGGCAAAGTATTCATCTGTCTGAATGTCTGTCTGTAATTAAAAAAAAAATCAAAACTCTAGTCTCCCCCCAGTTTTAGTTCAATTTCAATCAAATTTTATATGCAGGTAGACTACACTACAAAAAAAAAATTATTTCAGAGCTCCAGGTAATTTTTTAGCACAAAAAGTATTTACTTCCAAATTTTGAAATCATTGCAGATTTTGCTTCTCAGCAGAACCCTACCTGGACCAACCTTGCATGGATGGTGCATATAGGGATGCACTCTACCAGACCTGCTCTGGATGCTGGATCTGACCTACGTTTTCCACATGAGTGACCAGGGTTATGATTTTGGAGTAGCTCTGTAACTGTATGGCCTGTTATGAATAAACTTGCATGGATGATCATTGATGCATCTAGGGATGGTCACTACCAGACTTGCTTCAGATGCTGGATCTTACCTATATTTTAATGACTGAACAGATTTAAGTTTTTGGAGCTGGTCCATTCCCAAGTAACTATAAGTCATACTTAGACCAAACTTTCATGGATTTTTATCTTGGGATGTACACTAAGAAAAAAATTTGGTATGCGATATGCATTACTTATACATAATATTCGTCAAGGTGAGACAGACAGAAAATGCTGTAGGCATTACTACAAGAATCAAATTATTTTAGATGATATCATAGTGTATCTATCACACTTGTTATGATAAATGACACAAGATATAATGTGCCTGTAGTAACTGTGCTTAGGCTACTACATGGTCTTTGCTCAAATAAATCAAACAACAATTTATTTCTTTTGAAATGCTTTGTAGTGATTATTTCTCCATGTCTGAATATTTAAGCAAGCTGAGCTAACCTTAATTCTCATTATTAAAGATGTCCTATCTGGATTATTCTATGCGGAGTGTAAACTAATCCATGTTTATGATTGCTAATGCATAACTGTGTGCTCATTTTTGAATTTTAATGCATATTTTGTAAAATTCATATTTTTTTTTTGAAAATACCCACCTTATCTGGAGCTTTGCAATTTTTATTGGATTTTGATTTTGATGTATGGTGCTGCTGTGATTACTTAAACTACTTCTGGTTTAGAGGTTATACCAGAGTAAGACTGCAATTGTGTCCATGTTGGAAAATGACACAGGGCTATAATTATAAGGGTTTTTATTTCTGACTATCATAAATAATAGTGTTCTATACCCCAGAATGTGAAAACTGCAATGAAAACTGAGAAATGATTCAAAGGAGATTAAGTAGTTAAGTTTAAAATTTCTACTATGAAAGTTAAAATATAAGATTTGACACTTATTGAAGGATAACCATCCTGTTTCACCATATATGTATAATAAAATGTTCAAAAAAGTATGATTTGAATATATTTGATAAACTACTTTGTATTTTGTAGACATCAGAGAATGGAGACTAAACTCAATCCTTCCAATGACCCACCACCTTATCAAACATTTCCCCAGCCCGGTCAACAGGTTCCTCCCAGTTCCTACCCAGCACAAGCTCCACCAAAATATGAACCTGGGCCTACATCATATCCACAGAGTAAGACCAGCAGCAAAATTGTTGTATAAATTACAGGAAATCTAATATTAGTATAGGTCTTTATTCTCCATTTTATCATTTCTAATTTAGACCCTGGTTCATACCAACAGGGGACACCAGTGGTAACTTCACAGCCAGTTGTGTATCTTCAGGACCAGTCCTTTAACACTTTCAGTAAGCCAATGGTGTGTCCATATTGTAGCAGCCAGATTTCCACGTCAGTGGAGTATGAGTCAGGTGCTCTTACCTGGCTATCAGCAGGCATACTTTGTATCTTTGGGTAAGTTTTCTGGGGGCATACTTTGTATCTTTGGGTAAGTTTTCTGTATTCCAGGGGATAGGGTGGGGCCATGATAGGGATTGAAGTTTAAAATGGGAATATATGGAAAAATATTATAAAATCTTCTCAAGAACATCAGGGCTGTGATTAGAGATATTCGGATGCAAACATCCTCAGGTAGTGCAGATCCAGATTTGTTCAAATCATGGCTCCTGGGGCCACAATAATGGATCAAAGTTTCACGTAGGAATATATTGGGGGGGGGGTAAAAATTCTTATCAAGAACAACAGGGCCATGATCATGATATTAATATACAATTATTCTTAGGTAGTGAATTTGTTCTAATCATGACCCCCGGGATAGGAGCAGGTGGGTCCCCAATAGGGGATTGAATTTATAGGGAAAATGTTGAAAATTCTTTTAATTAACAGCAGGGCCATGATTAGGGATATTATTATAAAAGCATTTACATGTAGTCCAGATTCATCATGGCCCCTAGGGGTAAGTTGGGGCCACAATAGAGGATCAATATTGTAAAAGAAATACCCCGGTAATAAGGAATTTATTTTTTAATTCAAATAATGGATCCTTGGGTTAGAGTAAGTCTAAAATTAGGGAGTAATTTTCATCTAATGCATGTTTACTTCTGTAGAACAGTAAGGCCATTTGAGTCACAATGATGTTGAATATGGAGGGTAATCGTGTTCAAAAATCCAGACTTGTAAGTTTGTAAATCCAAACTTGTAAGTTTGTAAATCCAAACTTGTAATCATATCAGTTTCATAGTATACATATGTAAGTAGGTAATTCCGACATCCTAGCATGTAGTTCCGAACATAGAACTGTGTTGACTTCGAGTTTATACAATGAATGTGAGTATTTTTGATGTTGTAAACTTTGCTTTCTGGAATTTATATTTCCGCGCTCTGAATAAAACACAGAGACATTTGACAAGTCTACAAATGTAAAGTCTACACGTTTGTCGAATTTTGATAACGAGAACCTATGGAGGGTCATCAGTGCCACAATTATTTTTTAATGGTCTTATTTTCTTTTTTATTCTAACTTTTTGTTTTCCAAATTAAATTCTTCATTTTTTATTTCTTATTTTAGTTCTTACTTCTTGAAGGCGCGGATCTAGAAGGGGGTCCGGACCCCCCCCCCCCCCTGAAATTTGCAGACTTATTAAATGTTTATACTAAACGAACTAGAAGTGACCTTGGAGCCCCTCGAAAATGCTGATCTGTGTTAAGTTGACGACTACCCCCCTCCCCCCCAACACACACACACGCGCGCGCACGTGCGCGAAATAGGTTTTTCATGCTTGGGAAAGGAGTTTCCCTTTTTTTTTTTTTTGCTTGTCAAGAAAAATTTCTGGGTTGGATTTTTTTGGACTGGGATGGACCCCCCCCCCTTCTGGATCCGTGCTGTGCTTGTTTATATTTTCCAGTTTTATTTATTTTATATATTTTATTATGGCAATTTTGATTCCTTTCGTATTTTGATTTTATCTTAAAATTTCAATTATGTTTCACTTCACCTAACTTAATACTTAATTTTTTTTTTTGGTAATAACTATAAGCAAAATCGAAAGTTTGTTTAAGAAAGTAAAACTTACAGAGTTAAACTAAGAAATCCGAATAAAATGTAAACAAAAGGGGGCGCTACGGCCTTTTATGTACAGGTACACAGAGATCTTGGCGAACAGTCTAGCTACGAAATGTAGAAACATTTCCATGGAACAAAGTAAAACTTACAGAGTTAAACTAAGAAATCCGAATAAAATTTAAACAAAAGGGGGCGCTACGGCCTTTTATGTACAGGTACACAGAGATCTTGGCGAACAGTCTAGCTATGAAATGTAGAAACATTTCCATGGAACATTTTTTTTTTTTTCATTTTAAAGACCATAAGATATCATTCTTGCGTGTTTTCTCTCGTTTTCAGGCCCGTAGGAAGCATTTTCATTGGGTGGGGGTGGAGCAGTGGGCACAAAACAAAATTTCTTGATAAGCTCCCCCCCCCCCCCCAATGAAACATTCCTGTTGAGGGGGCACTACGATGAATTAGCCTTATTTCTTTTCTTTTGTATTTACAGACAAAATTATTGAGGGGGCACAATCAGAAATTGCTTTTTTTATTGGAATAATATATACTGGCACCCTCACCCCAGTTCCTACCTACGGACCTGGTTCGGGGCTTTAAAACTTAGATGAGCTCACTTTTGATCCCAGTCTCTCTTTTCTACATACTATTAATTCCTTTGGTAAATGTGAGACTGTGATCAAAAATGAGCCCGTCTAAGTTTTATGGCCCTGATGCAAGATGTTTCAAATATGATAAATATGACCACCATTTTTGATTGCCCGCTTATGGTACACAAATATCAGGTATCTTTAGGTTGATATTGTCAACACATTGTTTTTTTAAAGTAGGACAGAGAAATTTTTTTTTCACTAACAAATCTCAGGTCCAAAGTAGGAGGGATCGAAAGGTTGGGCTCCCAATTTTTTTGTTTGGAGAATAATCTTTTGCAGCTGTTTTAATATGAAAATTCATTTATAGGCTGTATGCCCAACCACCCCCACCCCCATATTTTGCAGTATCATTAAACTCTGGCAAATTCTTGCGTTGAAAAAAAGCTACTGAAAAGTTAAAGATATCCTAAACATCGCCTCCCACGAAGGAGGAGTTTGGGCAGTTTATTTATTTTTTTCATCGTCAATTTTTTTGGAGCCCCCCCCCCCCCCAAACATTGATACGGATCTTTATCTACTGAGTGGTTGTTTTTTTAAATATTATATCATTGCAGTTACATTGGTTCTTAATAAACTGGGGCACTGATCACAGTAGCCTAGTGGTTGGGTGCTAGCTTCGTAGGCCATTGGAGGGTAAGAGTTCACTTGTTCCTAAGTTCCTAGTGCCCGCCGGCAAAATGTAAGACGTTTAACATTTTAACATACGTGTTGGTCAGGCCGGTAGGAAGCAAATTCAGTTTGGGGGGGGGGGGGGGGAACAGCCATACATTTTCAGTTGACAGTTGAGGGGGCACTACCAAAATACCAAAAATTTCCTGACAAGCAAAAAAGAAAAAAAAAGGTCATCAGCTGTTTTTATTGAGCCCCCCCCCCCTCGGTTCCTACGGCATGTTGGTAATGACTATTCCTTTGGCATTGAAAGTGTTGAAAGTGAAACTGAATAATTTTTCGGTTGAGACCTTAAAAACCGAAGCCCCTCTAGATCCGTGCAAGCAGTGAATAAGCGGGTAATGATTCATGTCACATCGTCAAATAAAATAATAAAATTAAGAAGATAAAATAAAATTAAAACATATAAACGAAGAGTTAGTATTAAAATTAAACAACAAATTCAAATGAAAATATTAATATAAAATTGGAAGTTAGAATAAAAAAAGAAATAAAATCTAAATAATTTATTTCAGTTGGAAAACGAAGAAGTTAGAAAAAAGGGAAAAAATGTGGCACTGATGCCCCTCCATAGTTTCTCATTATCAAAATTCAACAATCATGTAGACTTTACATTTGTAGACTTGTCAATTGTCTTTGTGTTTTATTCGGAGCGCGGAAATATAAATTCCGGAAAACAAAGTTTACAACATCAAAAATACACACATTCATAGTATAAACTCGAAGTCAACACAGTTCTATGTTCGGATGCTAGGATGTCGGAATTACCTACTTACATATGTATACTATGAAACTGATATGATTACAAGTTTGGATTTACAAACTTACAAGTTTGGATTTACAAACTTACAAGTCTGGATTTTTGAACACGATTACCCTCCATAGTTGAATGGTGTGTTCATTCAGGTTAGGTTATGTCATGGCCCTTTGGGGCTAGGTTGGGGTCATAATGTTGGGTGAGAATTGTTCATATGTATAAAGATGAGGGGAAAAAATTAAATCATGTGATAAAGATGAGGGGAGAAAAATTAAATCATGTGATGAAGAACTGAAGGGCCAGGGTGACTCAGATGAGCATTGTGGCCCATGGGCCTCTTGTTATATGGCCCCTCATACTAGGATAAGGCTTTTACAAGAGTTAAAATGGAGTAACA